AAAAAGATTCACAGTTGTATCATTTATTAAACTTGAAATTGGAAATAGCAATTCATCCCAAACCTGCAAGATAGATTACGATGCTAGCAACAAATACATACATACATACTTAACATACCATAAGAGGCCGCGTTGCATTGTTGGGCGATTGGAACGAAAGTGTTTGTATTGATACGTAGCTTATGGTTTTCAGAGTTTTTGGCCGAGTTTTCGATTAAATTATCTTCCTATGCGATTCTTAGATTGTCTGGTGTGTTGTAAATTACGCAAGTGATATATCCTATACGCATCTGATAACATTTTGGAAGAAACGTTTCTTTACATACTACCAACTTTGCCGTCGATCGGTAAGTAGGTGAAGTCTGTCGAGTCATACATCACCATTACGGATTGTTATGTCACGTTAACTGTTCGTTTTTTACACAATTTTTCTTTTTTCTTAACCTGTCGGTAGACTGTCGGCCGCCTGTCGGTCAACTGTCGGCCGACTGTCGGCCGACAGGTTTTTTGGGGAGCTCTTCTTCACAATTACCAGGAATTCATCTTTTAAAATTTGACCACCTGCCATATTTGACATGTATACCTGATATGTAAGATGGTGTTATCCAATTAACAAACAAAATGAAAAGAATCAAAATATCTGCAGAAGAGTAGATTGGTATAATTATTGAGTCATGGCCATGTTTATACAATTATATTTTAAGCCTTCAATTGATTGATATTTATCCTCTCGTGACAATATGGATGGATAGAATATCTTAAAATGTTTTCTCTGGTTAATTGGTAGAGCTTATGACCTCCTTTGAGAGTTGTTACACCCAAACGCCAAAGGCTGTAGAGGTTGAACATGTTTTGCTGTGAAGGAGTGGATGTTGCCCTTTTTAACTGTGCTCCACAACATCTCAAATCCTCATGCTTTTAAATTTACAAAAGCTCCTTCAGGAAAAGTCGTTATGCAGTACTAGAACTGGGGCAGTGACAAAAAGGAAAACTGGAAACCAGTAGACCGTAATCCAGAACAGTGGTTAACTATAGGGAAAGTGAGTGGAAATATCTGCTGTACAATGGACGCGGAATAAATAAGAACAAAAAATCTCAACAATACTTTCGATTGATAATTATACTCTGTTTATGCAATGAAGATATTACCTGTTTTGCTCAGCTGGAGTATGATGATCTTACATTTTAATTCTTAGCATTATGCTCGAACAATAATAATAATAGTAATAATATTAGTAACAATGACAAGTACGCTTAGAAAAATCGCAAACTGATCTCTGTTACAGCTTGATGGTATTATTGTAAGTTACTAATTAGAAGCTTATTTATTGTTGAGGTCTCATTTCATTCTCTAGTCTAATTCGTGTCCTTCAAATGTGAAATTCGATTGAATTTTTATTATTTTTCAGGCTGATGCAGAAATCAGTGTAGATGTCCCACCAGATTATGTTGCTCCAGATACAGAGAAGCTTGAGCTTCAATGGCTCAGATCAGACATTGAAAAATATTTCAGATCAAGATTGTTTCTGGAACAATATAAAGAAGATTGGGCATCACTACTTCACCCTGAAAATACCAGAAGGCATCCGCCAGAAAGGAGAGTCACTTGGCCATTAAAAGAAATCATTGCAAACAAGGAAAGAGTTAAAGAAAGACAAAAACAATTGGAGGCTGCTGGGAATAGTGTGGGTTTTTTGGGGCAAAAACCTGAAGGTGTCCATGAGGATGTGGATGATATGGTCAGAACTCAAGTTGCTCCCGTGCGAGTGATTTATGCTCAAAATTAAGACATACAATGTATGCCCAACTCAATTAAGCCTCCTCCTCATGCAAACTTATAGCTATTTTAATTTGGCCAAAGCTGTATGTACCCACCAAACCTTTCCATCATGTCTTTTATTCAGATGCAGTGTCAGCCACAGCTGAATTTTCCTTTAGGTGACCACACACACACACACACACTAAAATGCCTATCAAAAGGCTTTCATAATTGACTCAATTTATAATTTGTTTACAATTTCAGGTGTACAGTGGAGCTTATAGGAGGCAGACAGCTGTGGTCACCGAGGTAGATACCTTTGAAGGAGTTCTGCCAGGTTGCATTGTTGCGGTTAATCTTGAGGGATACTACAAACCTACCCATTTGGCAAAGGTAAAGGAAGTCACTAACTCTTCCTTTATTGTGGAGTGGCTAAAAGGTTCTTACAAAGGAAAGTGGGTATCATGGCCTGGATGGACTTCCAGCCAAATTCCTAAAGAAACCGTAATCTATTTTGACATCGAATTAGATGAGAATGATAAACTAAGGAAGGAGTCTGTCCAGTACTTAAGAAGGAGATACAAAGAGTTAAAAATAGGTGAAATGCATGATTGAGTACGCATGTATATCTAGGTTCTTTAATTGATCCAGAAGTGCATGGAAATTCCCATAGATCTTCCATCGACATGGTAAAATTTAAGATGTTCAGCTATAATCAATCTATACATGTACATCGAAATTTCCATAGACCTTCCATTAACATGGTATAATGTAAGATGTTCAGCTATAATTGATCTAAACATGTGCATAGAAATTTCCATAGACCTTCCATTAACATGGTATAATGTAAGATGTTCAGCTATGATTTATCTAGACATATGCATGGAAATTTCAATAAACCCTCCTTTAAAATGGGATAATGTAAGATGTTCAGCTATTATTGATCTAAACATGTGCATGGAAATTTCCATAGACCTTCCATTAACATGGTATAATGTAAGATGTTCACCTATAATTGATCTAAACATGAGCATGGAAATTTCCATAGACCTTCCATTAACATGGTATAATGTAAGATGTTCACCTATAATTGATCTA